ACAGAATTTTAATTCATTATGTTTGAACCTGGAAGCCTTTGCTCATCCTCCAGATATTGTGTTTGTAACGGAAATATGGATCTATTCTTATGAAGTTAATGATTACCATATTCCCGGTTACAATTTCTTCGCGAATACTAATGATTCATACTCGGCTGGTGGTGTCGGAGTTTTCGTACGCAATATATATGAGTACGATGTTACACGTTTTTGCCTAGCAAGTGCGGATATTTTAAAACTTAATTTGAATACTAAAAAGGAACTAATTAGTTTTGTATGTGTTTATAGGCTTCACTCAAAATCGTTACAGGTATTTCAAGAAGAATTTTCTTCTGTTTTAGATAGGGAAACCACAGCGAATCTAGTCATATTAGGAGATTTCAATATTGATTTATTAAGCGCTAACGCTACAGTAGATAACTATCTTGAACTGTTGGCAAGTCATGGCTTGACATCTTTTATTAAAAGTATTACCCGGCCAGTTTCTGGAACAAATATAGACCATATTTATGGACGCTTCGATAGTAGTACACTTAGCCCATCTGCGGGTTTGAACTTTGATCTTGGAATTTCTGACCATTGTATGATTGGACTGAAAATTAGTTGTTTAAATAATGTTCGCAATTTCAATAATAACAGTCCACCAGTCATACAGAAAATAAATTTTAGCGCTCTTTATAATTCACTTCGTTTAGAAAAATGGGAAAGTGTTTATGCTGAAAAGGACGTGAGTAAAGCCTACAATTTATTTTTGTCTACGCTTCAAGCACACATAACAGAATCTAGCTTTGTTACTTTTCCCAAAAACTGGAAAACTATTCTCAAGCCCTGGGTCAATTGTGATCTACTTAAGAAAATTAAACTTAAAAATAAATTACGCGTGAAATGTCGCAAGCACCCAACAAACACTCGCCTACGGAAGCGTGTGAAACTCCTCACATACAATATTAATAAAGAATGTCGTTTCAGGCATGATCATTTTTATAAGAATAGATTTTTAGCTGCGAAGGGTGACGTGAAGAAAGAATGGAATGTGGTCAACGACATTCTAAATCGTAATAAGAAAGCCGAAACTAATCCGTTTGTTTTAGATATCGACGGCGAACTTGTTTCTCACCCTTTAGACGTTGCCAATCATCTCAATGATTTTTTCGTTACAATTGGAAAAGAGTCCGCTCCAAAGAATAATAATATGCGCTGTACTTGCAACAACCACTTAATTTACTCTGTAAATACTTCTCCCGGCTGTAGTTTCTTCTTTGAACCAATTTCTGGGTCAGAGATTTTAAGTTTAATAAATTCTTTAAAAAATTCTGATTCTTCTGGAAATGATGGTATCTCAAACCGTACTTTAAAGAACATTGCTTTATATGTTGTTGATATTTTAAAGCATTTATTCAATTTTAGTATAGTCACAGGAGTGTTTCCAGCCGATTTAAAATGTGCTATTGTCATACCACTACATAAGAAAGGGAATAAGAAAGATAAAAATAACTACAGACCTATTTCTCTCTTGCCATCAATCTCTAAGGTTTTTGAGAAGACTGTTAAATGCAGAGTCTTGCAATATTTGGATAAAATAAAGTTTTTCAGTCCATTGCAATATGGATTCCGGTCAGGAGTATCTACTGAAGATGCTCTTCTTAACTTTTGCTCGTTTATTTATAAAGCAATGGATGAAAAAGGGACTTGTGCTAGTCTTTTTGTTGATATAACAAAAGCTTTTGACATGGTCGACCATAATATTCTTTTATGTAAATTGCACTCAGCAGGTTTCCGTGGAAAAGTTCTAGATTGGTTTGAGTCATATCTAAATTTAAGAAGTCAAAAGGTGAAAGTAAACAATAATCAAAGCGCACCTAGACAAATTGATTTGGGAGTCCCGCAGGGGTCAGTCCTTGGACCAATTTTATTTCTGATTTATATTAACTCGCTTTTTTCAATGCCTTTTGTAGGAAAAGTCACAGCATTTGCAGATGACTTGGCAATCGCTTATAGATCAAACAATGCTTTCAATCTTTTTGTGGACATAAATCACGATGTGAGCCTCCTAAGAGAATGGTTTGCTTCTCATAAACTTATTGTAAGCAATAAAACTAAACTAATGTATTTTAGTCTTAGTGGCAAGGAAGTAACTAGTGGTGATATTATTTTTCACTCTGCAAGCTGCTTGCGACATAAACTATGTACTAATACTTGTATTGAAAACGAGTCTCGTGTTATTTATTTTCCGGATTCAAACTGTGACGCAACATGTTTCAACGTCGAAGTTGTTTATAATTTTAGATATCTGGGTGTTATAGTCGATCACAACCTAAGCTGGTCTTCGCATATCTCTGCCATGAAAGTTTACATGCTAGCAACCGTTCGCTCATTTTATCGCCTTCAGAAACTATGTGCAAGCAGTGTGCTAAAAATGATGTACTATGGACTAATACAGTCTAAACTTCAATATGGCATAAGTTGCTGGGGCAGTGCATATTCTAGTAGAATTCAACCACTCTTAACTTTGCAGAAGTGTCTTATACGTAGGATTTGTAATGCTAGCCGTTTAACGCACTCGATGAATCTCTTTAGGAGACTAAATATTCTCCCTGTAAGACACTTGTACTACTTTAAAGTTTTAAAATTTTTTTTTATGAGAAGTGGTTACTTACGAAGTCCTATATACACTTCACTCATATTAAGAAGCAATTCTAATACAAACGTCACTGTTCCTGCCTCACGCACAACTCTGTATCGAAACTTCTATACCATAGTATCGTGTATGATTTTCAATAAACTTCCCGATGATATACAAACAATTCGTAGAATAAGCGTTTTTCTGAAGCAGGTGAAATTATGGTTTCTTGGTTTAAGCCATGACGATATTCAAGTTCTGTTACGGCCTATCACATAATCGGCTTCCGACTTAATAACATAATAACATTGCAACATATTTTCTTACTACTTTTTATTTTGATTTAACAAGTTCACTTGTAAGTTGCTTGCTATGTAATGAACCGATGTACTTTATTTCTATTAATTTTTAAAAAAACTTTTATATTAATAATTTATTTATCATCAATGTTAAACCTTTATAACTCCGGTAAATGATATTTTTTTGCGCCCCACATTTCTACATTTCTACATCTCTATACTTCGATTGTAATTATAACAGTAAATGGTGTTATCACTGTTCTCATTTTGAACACTCAACGCCATTAGCTATTATCTTATTGTATCTATTTTACTGTATGTTCACTAATGTACAAACTAATGTTTAATTTCTTTAAATTTCATAAGATAATAATGAATAAAAATGAATGAATGAATCACCACACGATTGATTTGGTTTCTCGTTTTTCGATCTGAAGACAACCATCAAGCTTGGTAGATATTTTTTTCTGCTGGAACCTAGTACTACATAATACCATATTTCGGGCCCCGGCGAAGTCGATAAGCCTGAGTTCGTTAGCGGACGTTTCGTCGTGGAGACGGAATTTTCCGACAGTGGCGCCAAAGATCAATTCCTTGCCTGCCTACCTTGGCATTGAAATCATCAAGCGCGATTTTGATATCGCGTCGGGGGCAGCCCTTATATGTACGCTCTGAGCGCTCATAGAAGAGATCCTTGGACGCCTCGCCTTTCCCCTTCGTCGGGGCATGGGCGCAAATGATCGAGATGTTGAAGAATCTTGCTTTGATGCGGATTGAGGCGAGATGCTCGTCCACAGGGGTGAATGACAGTACACAAATCCAACATCGAATTCGCGCTCTTTTACATGATAGCTGTAGTAAATGTCGCAATACACCAGGCATTTCTTATCTTGCGTCGCCCAACGCATTTCTTTAATGGCGGTGATATCAGCTATTGTCCTTATGAGCACATCAACCAGCCGGGCAGAGGCACCTTCCACATTAAAGGTCCGGCTATTTGTGGTGCATGTACTCAAGTCATATACGTTTACTGTGGTCGTCGTTAAAAGAAGAGGGTCTCATCCGAGGCTTTTTTCTTTTTCATTGGGCTTTAACGTGGCGGGACTCAAACCCAGCGCACGTGAGGTCTTATGCCTTCTCATGCCCATCGGTTGTTTCGTCGCTAAGGAGATATAAATATCTGGACGTCGTAAGCTGCGATTTGAACCGGACGCAAAAGAATCACTTCTGGCCACTTCTACGCGAATGGCAGTCAAAAGCTTTTCCCACTTACGTAGGCTTCTGGTCACTATGAAAGCCATACTGGCATGCCAGTATGGGCGTGAAAAGTAGATCGGTATCCCAATTACTGGCATGAACTTTTTACTGGAATGAGGTCATTGAGCGCTTGTTTATATTATGCAAGTAACAGGACACGCTCACTGAACTGGCTTGCTACTGGCAAAAATGTCTATTTACAATGGAGCGGTATGCGAGGCGATGTTCGAAAACGAGAACGCAGCAGTTTCTAAAAATATTTCTACTTCATGTGGTTCAAAGTGTTAGTTAAAAATAACGTGATACTTGCCTCTCACTCGCGTTCACATCGCTTTCACTCTCGAATTATTGAAAAAACCTCGCATTGCCAACGCGTGACAGGTAACAGCTGCCTTAAGCAAACTTTCCAAAAGTTGATTATCAATCTATTTTTGTGAAAAGTATAATATTTTTTAAAGCTAACAATATTTGACAACTTAGAGACCGACTAATTAAAAAAAATCAGTTGCTCTACTGCTAATCTACCTGTTCAATATGCCTTGGGTTCATCTGAGCGTAAACCAAAGAATAATAAAATAAACACGCTAGGAAAAAAAATTAATCGGGCTCTTCGAATTTATGAAAATGATACATATGCGAGTATAATTTAAATTTTAGTTGAATAAGATATTAAATAAATGAAGGCGGTCTTTTTCGTAAAAAAAAGGCACTTTTTCCGGCGAAGTCAGGGAGGGAATTAAAATTAGGTGGCGACTCTGGTATTAATATGTATCTACAAATGCGTGTACATCATATGAATTTTATAGAATGTAAATAAAATTTACCTCATGAAACGATAAGCGACCAATCCCAAGAAGTGTGCAGTACCAGCCGCCAGTTCACTGCTGCCTTTTGTGAGTTTATTCAGTTTTCCTTTGGCATTCGTGCGAAAATACAAATATGAAACCAAAAAGCCGCTGATAAAGAAAAATGTGTCCACACTGAATGGTCCGTTTGTGACAGCTTGAAAGAAGAAGTTTTTCTCCACTTCTTTACGCATCTCCATATTATCTGAGTATTTGAAAACCACTATGCAGGTATGTCCGAGTATAACCCACGCCATTGAAAAAGCGCGAAGTCCGTGTACGCAGGGAATAGTGTCCGCGCCGACATTCCTATCACAAATGGCATTGAAGTTGGTAATGGCCGAGAAGGAAAGCAATAATTCGGAGTAAACGCTAAGTTTTTCGGGCTCGTGAAGATGAACTTCCAGATGTTCATCGGAAGTGTTGTTACTGCTACTTGGACCGCCGTTTACTTCACGCGGTATATTCAGTACGATATTCAACTCGTTCAGCGATTCCTTTATTGACTCTTTCTTGAGCGACTCATGAGCCATAGAATCTCCGTAATCGGATGAAGCACAACCTATGCCTGATGAAGTCTCACTATTATTCATCATCTCCTTATCTTGAAGGCGAAGTGCCGCCTTCAAGCGACTCGTCAAGTAAATTTCGTATAAAGTGCCGGCAATTATTAGAGTAAGGACCAAAAATGAAACAACGCTAAGAAAAAAACAGAAAAAGCGATTGGTGAGTAATCAAGTCATATGTAAATATGCAGACATAATTGTTTTATTATTTATATATGTACATTAGACTGTCCCACTGACTGTTTTGTCTTAAAACCTATCCAACAAAAATTTCATGCAATTCGGACCACGGCGTGCCGATTTGCAGTCAAAGTTATGAGAATAATATTTGTCCAGTTCGCGTGTTTTGTTAACTTACTCATTTTACTTCTATATAAGGGGATATTACTATACTCACCACAGTATACGGGCATAATATTTAATAAATCTTCGTTTTTAGTTTTTTGTCAGGATTTTTTTCAAAGGACCATAAATGATAATATATTTCCAAAAGTTTACACAAAATATGGATATATGGGTTAGGGCGGGTCGAAAACCAAATTTTTCTCAAATCCCTTGGTAATAGTGAAAGTATATTGTACACTGAAAATAAAATCTGCGTAAATATAACGAAAACTTGCGTAAATCTTACGAAATTTTTCGTCATTTTGAGCCACGAAAGTTTTCGTTGATTGTACAAAACCGTTTTCGTACATACTACGAAAATATGAGGCATCAGATCTTTATTTACGAATGTATGGTACAACGCTCAATAAAAATATTAAAAATAAAATGTTAATAAGCCACAATAACATTGACAAATACATAGTTTAGGAAGAGCCTGCCTGAAACTATACGAAAGCAAATAAGCAAAAGGATGTATAGAATTGACAACAACAACCACGCTGTCGAGTTTAAATAGCGGCAAATCAGCTGCACTTGATAGTAGTTGGTTGAATAAGGAAAATGAATTAGCAACAAGAGTTTACGGGATGTACATAGCTCAGTGGTTAACGCTTCTGACTTTGAACATCGATTACGCAGGTTCGAACCCTGCTGAAGTCTAGAAAAAGAAGTCTGATGAGGAGATGTGGTGATCTCCGAAATAGTGCTATAACTTCTACCGCTTAGACTTTGTTGCTTTTTCAATTTTTCCTAATAAACAATCGTGGTACAAAGCTCAATAAAAATATTAAAAAAAAAATGTTAACAAGCCACAATAACATTGACAAATACATAGTTTAGGAAGAGCCTGCCCGAAGCTATACGAAAGCAAATAGAAGCAAATGGATGTATAGAATTGACAACAACAACCACGCTGTCGAGTTTAAATAGCGGCAAATCAGCTGCACTTGATAGTAGTTGGTTGAATAAGGAAAATGAATTAGCAACAAGAGTTTACGGGATGTACATAGCTCAGTGGTTAACGCTTCTGACTTTGAACATCGAAT